CCAAATTCGAATATATTTATTTTGTTGAAATTGTACAAATGTAGTTTCGTCACTCCATAAAACCTTTGCCCAATCTTCTTTGGTCCATTTTTCATATTTTTTAGCCCATTCAAGACGTTTTTGTAAATTATTTGCTGAAATAAGAGGTTTACGGCAAGCAATACAACTTTTAAGACCCAAAGAATGTAAAATTCGTCGAATAGTCTTTGTTGAAACATCTTGTTTTTTCTGTTTTTTCCAGAGTATTTGTATTTGATTAAGATTAAGACAACGATGTTCTTGATCTTGAATTATTAATTTTTTAAGTGTTTCTTGTTCTGGTTTTTTTATAAGAGAAGGACGACCTGAACGTGAACGTGGTATAATAGAACCAGTATTTTTTTTAAGATGAATAATATTATGAACTGTAGCTACATTACAACCAATAATTTGAGCAATATCTCGATATGATTTTCCTTTTTCATAATTATATATAATTATGTTTCTTTGAGATATCGAAAGTTGTTTTTTAAGACCCATAATATTAACAAAAATAATTGTTGTTCTATTTATATCTAAAAAAAATATTATTATAGCTTATTTTATAACTTTCCGTAAGATTAATTTTATATAATTTAAATAAATAAACTTATATTACATAAAAATGACATCATTTTTATATAATTTTTATATGGATTTTTTTTAACAAACTATCTTTATTATAGGATTACAAAATAAAAAATCGTTTAAAAACTTTTGAGAGGGGACTGTACTAGCTGTGCCTGAATAGCAGCTATGGCTATCTACTTAGGAAATTTGGCAAATTCTTTTGATTTTTTAAATATAAAAAATTGAAAATAAAAATAAAAGTAACTATAGCTAGAACTACGTTAAGTAAACTATAATCTATAGGTAGAAAACTACTATTTCCCCTTGGAAGCCTCCGGACAGGCTTGTAGTCCCATCTCTCCGGCTCGTTGGTTACCATAAATAATAGAGTATACGTGACATTGTTTGTTGTTATAGTTGTTAGTAGTGTGTTAGTTGTTGTTGTTGTTGTTGTGATCATTATTGTGGTATAAAATCCATTTAAGCTTGATCGAGTTTTGTTTTGATCTTTAAGCGAAATCTGATTGGATGATTGAGGAACGCAAATCATCTGGAGGGGGTAAACTGATTTCGGTTTTTTGGATGAAAATTTTTTGGAAAATGAAAATGGCGCAGCAATTAATGTTACGAAAATATTGTATATGTGGGTTGACTTAAAACAAACAGTAGACTTACTAACTCTGTTTATAAATATGTTTTGGAAAGTGTTTGACTTAGCAAGTATGATGATGATAATGTATATGGTTTTTATAATATAATAAGGGTAAGGTGGGGTGCAAGAGAACTGAAGAAAAGAAAACTGCCACGGGTCTTTCCTCATGCAACTGAAGGATAAGCAAAACTCCCAAACTTAAATAGACTTTGACCAGAGGTCCCATCCCACTGCACCAGTTGTTTTAAAGGTTCTTGAGTTTCTGAGTTGGAGCTCACTTGCGATAAAGAATGTAAACCATTTTTTCTTGCTTAAAATTACTATAAAAGGAAAATTTTTAACAAAACGGACACGATCAGGAAAGAGTTTTTGCTTATTATACTTTAATGTTATTAATTATTTTTGTTTTATCTTTGTTATATATAATATTATTTATTGCAAAAAATTGATTGACTATTGTGAGAAAATTTTTGATTTTTTGTTTGAAGTCTGCAATAAGAGTTAGATCATCTATATATACAAGAGTATTAAAAGCAGTATATTTTTAAATTGCGCTATATTGAAATAGTTTGGAAATATAAAAAAGTTTTTTATTTATTATTTATAATTATTAATATATTATTCAATATGATTATAATTTTTCTAATTATATTTCGAAATTATTTTTTACTTATTTAAATTATTTAACTTTTAATTATAAGTAGATGTTTCTAAATACTTGATATTATATAATAAGATATTGTTTTAAGCAAGTTAATAATATATTTATATATAAAAATATTTATTTACAAAAAAAAAAATTAATATTGTTAAAAGTTTTAATAATTTTGAATATCACTATATATTTAAATAATATTATTTGAACTAATATAAATTATAATATAAAAAAAAAAACTTTTATTTATTTATTATTAATTCTTTGAAAATTTTCTTTTATAATAATTTTTTTGAAAAAGTATAGTATTTTCCATTTTTTCTTTTATATGTTAACTATATTATAAGCTTAAGGATAAGAACTTTAAAAACTACTGATATATTGAAATAGAATTTTTAATTAAAAGTTAAGTAAGTTTGAAAGTCTTATTTGTTCATTGATTATATAAAAAAAAACCTATAACAGTTCTTTTCATAATTTTGTTTTTTTTTTCTAAAAACTATTAATTTTATCTTTATATTAATTTTTAATATCACAAATTTATTTTCAAAATCATATTTAAGCAAAGTTATTAAATTTCTTAGTTAAATCTTTTTAATATCTTTTTGATAATATATAATATTATATTACTTCAAAATTTACAAAAAATTTTTTAATACAAAAAATTAAAATTAGATTTATTTTTTTAATCAATATAATATTAACAACCAATTAAATTCTAACAATTTAATTTTATAAAAATCAAATTAGCTCAAACTTGTTTATAATAATAACAATAAAAATAACAATAACAATAACAATAGCAATAATTACAAATAATAAAAACACTCTAATGGTTTTTTTAATTAAGATATTTCTAACAATAACATTATAATTATATAAAATATTGAATTTTTTATATGTTTTACACTAGTTGAAATCTGATTATTTGGCAGTATGCTACTCATCAATTATTTAACATAAGATAAATAATTTGTTGAGCATTTGTCAAACATTTGGCAATAATTTGGTATATTTCAATTTGACAATAATTGTTAAATTGTTGATGAATGCTTGACAAATTATTTATCATATGTCAAATAATTGGTAAGTAGCATACTGTCAAATAATTAGATTTTAACTAGTGTTACTCAATCTTTAAACAGTTGCCATATTGTTTTATAGGTTCAAGCAACAATATTAAAATCTAATTATTAACTTTTCAACAAACAAAATCATTATTATGGTTTTACAAATTCAAATTGTATAATTAAAATCCAAATCAAAAATTTTTTTATTTTAATAGTTTATATGATTATATTTATTATTCTAAAAATCTTTTCAAACTTAAAAATTTTTTATTAATAACTGCAATAAATTAGTTGTTTATGTATAGGCATTAGCCATTTATGAACCACTGATAATTTGTTATTATCTACTTAGTGTTCTTTCAAATTAGAGGTTCTACATGCAATAGGATAGAATTAACTTCCATAAATGTGTGATATAGGATTCTTAATGTAATTAAATAAACTTAAGTTTAATAAATGTCTCGTATTTAATGCTTATTTGCAATAAAATAATAATAATAAATAAATAAATTATAACACATATTTTATTATAATTTATTTATTAATGATATAAATTATTTGAAATTAATATGTTAAATTTTTATTATAACCACATTTATATTGATTGGATATAACTTAAAAAATATAATAAAAAAATATAATTTAAAGTAACTTGGGTTTTATTATGTAAATGCAATATTTTAATTTCGTTTTTTTTTTGATCACAAGTTTCGTAGAATGGTTTTTGCATGTACTAATTTCGTTGTATTGAAATCGCTCAATCACAAGCTGATTGATCACTGATTACATAAAAGTAGTATTCCACAATATCAGCATCTACAATTATGCATATGATTTTTTGATTATACTAATAAATAATATGTATGAGATTGATTGATCATTGAAATGGGAAATTATCTTTGAAGATGACAAAAGTGTTGAATGATTTTTCGATTCCAAAAACTATTGCCTTCGAAATTAACCACACAAATCTATATTTTATCTATACATCAATTCATTGAGAATTGTAAAGTCGAAACTTGAATTCGTGAAAATATTCGTAATGTAAGACGACGATTGAATTAGACCGTTTATTAAGACCAAAATCAATTTGACCCTTCTAAGATGCGTAAACCGATTTTTTCAAATTAATTATGCTACTTAATCCTTAATCTAATTATAAGTTAAAATGCGAGAACCATTTGTTCAACGTTTCTAATCTGATAGAACGTCGGTTAGCCTTAAAGAATTATAATTCTATATTACTTAAACTTGGTCTGAAGTCGAAATTTCTAGAAAAAATTGTCTAAAACTAATACTACAGAAAGTAAATGTTTATGTATAGATCCGAAATAAATCCATGAACATCCAAAATAAACAGGCAAATCATTATATTTAATAAATTATCCTAAAAAAAATGTAATTTAGATTAATTTACGAGGCAAATTATGGCACATCATATCAAAATATTCCAGTCTCTGTTATAAATATTCTCACCTTGTTGGAGCGCCTCGCTGCTTGAACCGCCTGGATTACCATCATCCTCTCCATGCTCAACCGTCTCACCGTTGTTCGAGTCGCCATTGCCTTTTTCATCTTCATTTGTATCTTCATCCATGTAAGAACTCTCGAATACAACATGAGTACTTTCGACATCATCTTCCTCAGAAGAATCACCAAAAGTGTCAAACATATTTCCCGACGTAGATTGTTTGTTACTTCTGTTAAGAGGAATAGAATCATCCACTCCATTTGCATCTCCCGATACGGATTCATATGTATCTCGTGAAAAGAATTTCTTGAATTTTCTGTTAGTAATGTTCCAGAACTTTCTCTTTGTAACACATGCCAAGTATGTCATCCCAGAGAGTATAAAAGTCACTAATACTCCGACCCCAGTCAAAATCCAACCATTCGATTCAGTAGTCGTCGTTTCTGACGTAGAATTGGAATTTTCATCCGTAGGGGTAGCTATTACTACAGGTAAAGTAGAAGATATTGATGTGGTATATTCCGACGTAGGTGAAGTTGAAATCGTTGAACTTTCAGATGGTAATATAGTTGGAGCACTAGTTGGACTAACGACTACGCTAGAGGTAGGTGATGTGGTATTCACACTTTCTCCCCAAAATTTAATCAACCAATCTACGAATATACCCCTATGCTGTGGATTTTGCCTGTCTCTCACTTGAATTATCCACTCACCGATAGGTGGTTCATCCCTGAATAACCAATAATTTACTTGTTTGAGGATGGTATAGTTAATGGCACAAGTTTAAAATCTAGAAAGAACATACCAATGTTTCAAAGTCATGAAAGTCCAGTTGGTTAGTCCTTCGTTATGTTCATCGAATTTCCTTGTTGCACCAAGTATCGAATTGATATTGTTTGGACTTATTAAATCTACCTCAATATCACCTCTACGCGTATGGTTAATGTTTATGGTAACGGTAATATGTTCAAGTCTACCTAAGCCTACATTATCTAATAATTCTTGAGTCACAACTACCTTGCTTAGAATTCCCACGTCATCATCTGGTATTGGCTTGTTAACAGTCACAATTGGCATTTCCAGGTCAACTTGAGGGCCAAGATTCTTATATGTTTTGGCATTCTGAATTATATTATATGCATCTAATTTTCCATAACCCCATCTATAACTAAATAATCTACCAGCTTTTGTACGCTCCCATTCTGACTCATCTAAATTGAACGGCACGGCACTCAATAAGGTCAGGTATTGTATGTCGCGCCAAGTAAGATCCGGTCTGAAAATTTAAGGTGCAATCAATTTATAAAATGATCTAATATCCGAAACACGAATATAAAGTTATTACCTAATTTGTAGAACCAGAGAAAAAACACCCGTTGCAATTGGTGCAGCAGCAGATGTTCCACCATGTAAATTGGTACAGTTTCGTTTACCTATATCGGTCGTGTACTAAAATTATACATAAAAAAGTTAACACACATAAAATTGTACAAAAATGTACTATGCGTAATTCAAAAAAAAAAATTACAATATAACTTCCGCTTCCACTGCTATATGTAGACACTAAAAGGGCCGCACATTTTTCAGCATAGTAAGGATGCGAATTGGTACGATCGATTGCACCCACGGTGACAGTGTACAAACTATTCGTATATCCATCATA